AGATGGGGCGGGAGGGAGCAAGACTGGATTTCAGATGGATAGATTCAATCAAGGAAGCCATGGTTCTGAGCTTGTGAGACCAGAACAGGGCAGCTAATGACAGGGTGATTTGGAAGTCTCTCTTTCATAGGGTCACTATAAGTTGAAGTTCTCCTGATTACAATTAAGTCAACTTCAACTTATAGTGACCTTGAAATAGAGATGGCAGTTAACAACAACGAATTCATGGCAATTAAGGAGAATAAGAACAAAACTGAAGTGAGAAAAGTATTTTCTGCTTTCCTGTGAATTAGGTGTTTCTGTCACAGAAGCTAAAGCCACTGTATTCTCACTTAACCCTAGTATTATTTGGGGGGGGGGGGGATTGACATTGTAAACCAAGATATTCCTTTCACGCTCCTCACAACTACTTCATTGAGCAGTGACCACCTTTATCTTATATAGCTCAAATTTGATAATGGGCTGACTTCCATGTCACTGAGTATGTAAAGAGTGATATTTGGTTATATTTCTAAAAACACAAGGTATTTATTTGTTTTATTATACGTCTGTTTATCCATTAAAAATAGCACTCATGGTGGTTGATAGACATCACTAAAACCAAACAATGTCATTAAAGTCAATTCAATAAGTAATATGCATTAAAACATTTTAAAAGATCAGTTTAAATAGATATTTTTCTCTCTCTTCCTAAACTCTTTCTAAAATAAGCAACAGAAAGATCTGAATCCCACTCGAAAAATGCCCTGAGTGCCCATAAAACAGGATTCCCCAGCTGGTGGCATTCTCCCAGGGATTTCAATTCAGGCATTGCCCAAAGACTCTGATGCAAACAACTGAGAACCAACGCTGGATGCACTTTGGTTTAAAAATGCTACTTCCAGCATTATCCCATGTAAATGCGTGGAGAAAGTATAAACCTTTTGTGCGCACCTAATCACTGGATGGGATTCATGCAGCAAAAAGGGAGAAAATGAAGGGATTGTCCTTTCCAGACTGAAAGCTAGCTTGTTAAATGAATACAAGTCTGACCCCAAACCAGATGAAGTTAATGCAGTGCTAACATGTGGTAAGCAGTTTTGAAAGAAGAGTTGAGAGCTTATGGTTTCTTGCTGCCCAAAAGTACCCACACAAATTACTGTATACATTATATGCCACATTCACAGAGCTATCATTCAATCTTGTGTATGTGGTCCTGGTTGGTATGAATTTGGTATCATAAACATGCTGGTTGGATTAATTTTCTAACCCCCTGAGGAAAAATGGTTAACCAGTCATCATTAGGAAAGTGTCCACTCTTGATGTCTTGATCGCAGTAACTTCAAACAGCCACCCCGGCCCTCCTTCTCTTTTACTGGCTTCCAAAAGAAACCACTCTCAGCAACTACAACTTGCCTTTAGGGAGAAACACACCAAGACACTATCTGCCTTGAGAAGGATAACAGATCAGTGGGGTATACTGTGGTTTTGATGGCATTCTCATGTTTATTAACCAAGTCAAGTGAAGTCCTCTTTTACAATTTACCCTTTGATTCCTTCAATAGAGGGTTTTATGGGGTACACACTGTAGGACACAGCGTATGGGTCCCAGCTCTGTTTCAGGCAGTTTGTTGCATTTAGTCAAATCTACCAAACTAAATTAAGGGTGTTGTCGAAGGCATTCATGGCCAGAATCACTGAGTTGCTGTGAGAAAACTCATAGTAAGTTAAGGGTCTTTGACTCAAAGAAGATGCTCCATAGAATATGTTAAGTACTTTATTCTTGTTTGTGGATTTTCATACTGAGTCTCCTTGGGGGAGAGGGTGGGTTAAAATAAAGTTTATTTATTTATTATTCAGGAATATCACTTCATACAAACAGTTACTCAGAATATGTTTAACATTGGCCCGCAGAGGTGTGAGAATGAGATTTACCATTAATATTAAATGGGAGAGGAAATAATCTGTTGAAGCAGGAACCCTTGCCTCTGAAGAAAGATACCACTGATAAAGGCAAACTTTTATGGGTCAATTCCAAACCAGAATGTTTTATCCAAGGGAAGGATGCAACATGAACCTAAACATGAATCTGCTGTAGAACTACAGTGAGAAACATGATTTCCAAATAAAGGACTGTTCAAGGCTAGCAGGCAACTAGTGTCAATGGGAAGAGGATGTCCTGTAGCCTTATCTGCTGTACAACCTTCTCTGCTACAGTTGCTTAAGGTGGTTTGTCTTTTGGAGTAAAGTTCAAAGATGTTCTTCCTAAACTAATTTGCAGTGGGTTTTTTCACAATTTCCCTCCTCCCCCATTATCTTTTCACTCCAGTAAATAATCTATGACCTTTAGGTTTATTCCATACACTGTCTCCTCTATAACTGTCTTGGCATCAGAGGTCTGAGTAGCTGGACTAGAGTAAAGATAAAGCAGGAGTGAGGATTTAGTGACCAGAGTTCTTCAGAGCATGGGCACAGAAACACAGCGTAGGATTATTGACCTGGGTGGTTTGTCTGGGTTTTGTTGACATTACAGTAAGATGATTCACATTAATAAATATGGTACCGGTCTGTGTGTGTGCTGGGAGTTCTGTGTCCTTCAGGTTTACTTATCTGGCCCAAGCCCAAGTGAGTGAAAGCAATGTCTGTGACTGAGGTGCCATATATTTTACCCTACACTGCTATCCCTATTGCTGGGGCCTATGCCAACTTGCCTACAAGCCTCTTCTAGCCTCTGAAGCCTACAAAGTTCCTCATGTTTAGCGTTCTAAAGTGTGCTTAATCTGCATGCAGTCAATGCAAGAAAAATGAGTATCCATACCCACATAGGGCTTTACCTCCCCCACCCCACCGTGTCCTTTAAGGACAGTGATTGCTCCTCTTATGTATTGCCAACAATCACTGAGTGAAATTTATTTTTCCTCCCAATTCCTCTGAAAATTATGCTCTGTCTCCAGACCATGTTACTATCCCTTTCCCATGTTGTTCAGATGGGAAAAGGGAGACACTCTGTCGGAGAAAAAGGCTACAAATGCAAAAAAGGGAAAGTTCAACACAAATGTGGTTATGTTTTAAAAAGCAAGAATTCCCTTCTTAGTCTCCCTCTAAACGGAATCCCAACTATTTTAAGAAAGCCAAAGAAGGAGGCTCTAATTTTTTTGACAGGCTGCAAGTCCTATCACACACTTCCTTGGGAGCAACTCCAGTTAAGCCAGTAGGGTTTGTTTTCGAGTAGACTGGGAAAGGACTGCTCTTTGGAGTGAGTGTGGAGGAGGAGGAGAGATAACAACCCAGGGACCAGTGGAGTCAAGTCCTGCCCTGTCTCAGGTTGGATCCACACTGTCTGATATTCCAGGATCTGATCCCAGATTAACAATAATAATAATGAAATTTATTTTCAGACCGTTTTATCTCCCCCGGAGGACTTGGGGCAGTTAACACATACAACGGCAAATATTCAATGCACAGCATATACCAAAACATTGCAGCAATAAGCATAATATGGAATAATAATAGCATTGTACTAATCAAATGAAATTAAATATCAAAATAAAAACATTCAACTAATCACTAAACAAGTACATTTAAAAGCATGGTCAGCAATAAAACATCGAACATAGTCAGCACTAACTGTTCATTGCAGATTATATGGCAGTGGAGACTCATGTAAGATTCAAAGTAGATCAGGTCCTGGGATAAAGTGGCCATGTGGAAGGGGGCCTCAGGATAGATCTACATTGTCCTATATTCCAGGATCTGATCCCAGATTATCTGATTTGAACTGGATTATGCAAGTCCACACTGCTAGATAATCTGGGATTAGATCCTGGGATATAGAGCAGTGTTAAGCCAGCCTCAGAGATTTGAACTGGATCATGTGAGTCCACACTGCCAGATAATCTGGGACCAGATCCTGGGATATAAAGCAGTGTTGAGCCAGACTCAGAAATTTGAACTGGATTATGCGAGTCCACACTGCCAGATAATCTGGGATCAGATCCTGGGATATAGAGCAGTGTTGATCCAGCCTCAGAAATTTGAACTGGATCATGCGAGTCCACACTGCCAGATAATCTGGGATCAGATCCTGGGATATAGAGCAGTGTTGATCCAGCCTCAGAGATTTGAACTGGATCCAGAGGTGGCCCTAGGTTTTCAACTGTAAGCAAGCAGTATTTTGCCCCCCCCCCCCCCAACCAATTGCTGATATATATTTTCTGCTCGTTGTGGGAGTTCTGTGTGCCATATTTGGTTCAGTTGCATCATTGGTGGAGTTCAGAATGTTCTTTGATTGTAGGTGAACTATACATCCCAGTAACTACAACTCACATATGTCAAGGTCTATTTCCCCCCAAGAACGCCTCAAGAGCGCCCCTGGGCAAAATAAACTATAATGCAAATGCTTACTTTGCGTAATGGGTTGAGCTGCCCCTGACTGGATCATGCGAGTCCACACTGCCAGATAATCTGGGATCAGATCCTGGGATATAGAGCAGTGTTGATCCAGCCTGAGATTTGAACTGGATCATGCGAGTCCACACTGCCAGATAATCTGGGATCAGATCCTGGATATAGAGCAGTGCTGATCCAGCCTGAGATTTGAACTGGATCATGCGAGTCCACACTGACAGATAATCTGGGATCAGATCCTGGGAAATAGAGCAGTGTTGATTCAGCCTCAGAAATTTGAACTGGATCATGCGAGTCCACACTGCCAGATAATCTGGGATCAGATCCTGGGATACAGAACAGTGTTGAGCCAGCCTCAGAGATTTGAACTGGATCATACGAGTCCACACTGCCAGATAATTTGGGATCAGATCCTGGGATATAGAGCAGTGTTGAGCCAGCTTCAGAGATTTGAACAAGATCATGCGAGTCCACACTGCCAGATAATCTGGGACCAGATCCTGGGATATAGAACAGCCTCAGAGACATGGAGACAGTGAGGATATCCTTGCGTCCCTTTTCTCCCCGCAGGAAAAATAAATATACATAATGAAATGAGAGAAGAAGAAACTTACAGTCGGCGCCCGTTCCCTTCCAGCGATTTCCCCGAAGAGGGGACGCAGGAACTGAGAAGAAAGACTACGAAACTCCACTGGTGGAAGAGCCTCGGAAACATCGTGGCTGCGCGGTGGGTCTCTCTCTCAGTCTCTCTCTCTCTGGAATCTGCGAAGGAGAAGCTCCGGTAAGGGGGAGAAGCTTCGCTTTGGGACGCTCCCGAATCAGGGGGAGTTTTCCACAACGTTGCCGGCCAATCCGTTTCCTCGCCTCCAACTTTCCCCTCCCTTTGGGCTCCTATCCAATTCTCTGCCGGGGTCTGGAATAATACCTGGGACGTCCTCCTCCTCCTCCTCCTCCTCGCCGTACTGTGGAGAAACCTGCTCGAAGAGGAGGACGAGGCGTTTTGGCTTGTGATCGGAGGGCCCCTCTTTGAGATCTTTTGGGATCCCCCTCCTTCCCTCCTACTTGAAATCCCCACTATGTAGCGCACCGCACTTGAGACGGCAAGCAGCATCTCTCTAGGCAGGCCCCGCTTGGGAACATATGGACAGCAGGGAAAGCGCGACTGGAGGCTGTCCAACTCCCTTGCCCCACTTACTTGGATCCCGGCGAAGCTCAAGACTGAGAGAGGAACCTCGAGGCTCTTGGCCTTCCTCTTCTGCCTCTGAATAAGAGCTCGACGGTTGGAGGCCGTCTCTCCCGCGCCCGCCCTCTCAGCCGCGTTTAAGCCAAAGGCGGCCCCCTCCTTCCTTCCCTTCCTCCCTCCTTCCCTCCCTCAAGCGGGGCGTTGCAAGGCTCTCCAGAGTGGGGGGAGGAGGAGAAAATCTCCCCCTGACATAATGGGTCCCCTCACGGCCTAAGACTCAACCTCTCCTCCTCACAAGGCGAGGTTGTGGTCACTGGCGTGAGGGAGAGAGGGATGCCTCGCGAGGAGGGAAGGGTGCCCTCGCGACCCAAGCCCTGCTGCTCAGAGGGGCGCGTGACCTCTGGGTCTCGCGAGAAGCCATGCCTGTGAGGAGGCCGGAGTCCTTAGTGCCCTCGCGACCCACGCCGCAGGCTCGCGCCCTGAGGCCTGCTGCCCAGCGGGGAGCGTGACCTCTGCGTCTCTCGAGAATTAATTAATCAATCAATTAATTAAAACATTTATATTCCTTCCTTCTCACCCCAAATGGGGCCCAGGGCGACTAAAATGATCAAGAGTCTGGAGAACAAGCCATATGAGGAGCGGCTTAAGGAGCCGGGCATGTTTAGCCTGAAGAAGAGAAGGCTGAGAGGAGATAGGATAGCCATGTATTATAATAATAATAATAATAATTGCTTAGCCAGCATTGCACCACCTGACATCCGCCGGGAGGTAGCAGCCAATAGTGAAAGGACCAAGGCAGAGACATCTCCAGCTCACCCTGTTTGGGTATCAGCCAGCACCTCAACGACTTAAAATCTAGAAATAGTTTTCTAAGATCTACAGAGACACTGGCTGGAACACCTCAGCAAGCGAGAGTCCAAAAGTGGCAGGCTCAAACCCAGCACCTCAATCCATGGGTGATACCAGATGAGAGACTCCCCCCTGGGCACACAGAAGACTGGGCGACTTGGAAGGCGCTGAACAGACTGCGCTCTGGCACCACGAGATGCAGAGCCAACCTTCAGAAATGGGGCTACAAAGTGGAATCCTCGATATGCGAGTGTGGAGGAGAGCAAACCACTGACCACCTGCTGCAATGCACCCTGAGCCCTGCCACATGCACAATGGAGGACCTTCTTGAGGCAACACCAGAAGCACTCCAAGTGGCCAGATACTGGTCAAAGGACATTTAATCAACTACCAAACTTGCAAATTTTGTGTTTTTTTCTGCTTGTTTGTTTTGTTCTGTTAGAAATGTAATACAACTGACTGGTTGCCCTGACACGACAAATAAATACCAGGGTGGGACAAAGAACTCTTGCCTGCTGGAGCTAGGTGTGAATGTTTCAACTGACCACCTTGATTAGCATTTGATGGCCTGGCAGTGACTGGGGCAATCTTTTGTTGAGAGGCGATTAGATGTCCCTGGTAGCAGAGCACCTGATGAACCAACCTGGACACAGCATATTATTTGAGAACACGGAAATGCTGGACCACTCTAACAACCACCATGTCAGACTACACAGAGAAGCCATTGCAATCCACAAGCATGTGGACAATTTCAACAGAAAGGAGGAAACCATGAAAATGAACAAAATCTGGCTACCAGTATTTAAAAAAAACTCTAACATTACAACAGCAAAACAACAGAGGGAAAACAATCAGGGACATCTAATCAAATGCTAATCAAGGTGGTCAGTTGAAACATTCACACCTAGCTCCAGCAGACAAGAGTCCTTTGTCCCACCCTGGTCATTCCACAGATATATAAACCCATTTTTCTATTTCCAACAGACCTCACTACCTCTGAGGATGCTTGCCCTAGATGCAGGTGGAACGTCATGAGAGAATGCCTCTAGAACATCTTTCCCACTGCTGCTTCATTGCCCTGACCCGAAAGCTTGGTCCCATAGCCAAGTTTTTAACATCCTTCTAAAGGACAGGAGGGAGGGGGCCGACCTGATCTCACCAGGAAGGGAGTTCCATAGCTGGGAAGCAATCACAGAGAAGGCCCTGTCTCTCGTCCCCACCAATCGCGCCTGTGACAATAGCGGGACGGAAAGCAGGGCCTCCCCGGAGGATCTTAACCTCCATGATGGTTCATAGGGGGAGATGCGTTCAGACAGGTACTTTGGGCCGGGTCCGTTTAGGCCCACAGACAGGGACTCCCTCCCACAATCCCCATCCTGGACCACCAAGGTTTTCCCCTGACATTAAGTCCAGTCGTGTCCAACTCTGGGCATGTGGTGCTCATCTCCATTTCTAAGCCGAAGAGCCGGCGTTGTCCGTAGACCCCTCCAAGGTCATCTGGCTGGCATGACTGCATGGAGCGCCGGAGCGGTACCTATTGATCTACTCACGTTTGCATGTTTACGAACTGCTAGATTGGCAGAAGCTGGGGCTGACGGCAGAAGCTCACGCCGCTCCCCGGATTCGAACCTGTGACCTTTTGGTCAGTAATAATAATTTTTTTTTGTCATATCAGGAGCAACTTGAGAAACTACAAGTCGCTTCTGGTGTGAGAGAATTGGTCGTCTGCAAGGACGTTGCCCAGGGGATGCCTGGATGATTTGATGTTTTTATCATCCTTGTGGGAGGCTTCTCTCATGTCCCCATATGAGGAGCTGATAGAGGGAGCTCATCCGCCTCTCCCCGGATTCGAACCTGTGACCTGTCGGTCTTCAGTACTTTATTTATACCCCGCCACCATCTCCCCGGTGGGGACTCGGAGCGGCTTACATGGGGCCAAGCCCAGCCAACATATTACAGCAATAAAATCAAAACATAAACAACTAACAAACTTCAACATCATCAGAATTACATAAGAGAAGAAAAAAAGGCAATCATAAAATAACATTATAATAAAGACAATCACAGTAACGATAACAATTGGTGGGTAGCATAGACAGGATAAAACAATTAAAAGACTGTAATGAGATAAAATAGGAGCAGGCCATTTAGGGGGAACTCATAAAAACACAGAGTTGTTAGGCTAAACTTCCAATTTGGAGGGTGCGCGATCTAGTAGCAGAAAACGTTGGGGGATACAAAATGTCATGGTGTGCACCGACTCACCAAAGGCACAGCAGAAGAGCCTGGTTTTAAGGTTCTTTTTGAACGTTTCTAGTGAACAAGCTCAGCAGTTCAGCGCTTTAACCCACTGCGCCACACCGGTCCCAAATCCCCACATTCTACCTCATCACTCTTGGAATAGTTGTTTTGCACCCAGACAAACGGTGGCGCAGTGGGATAAACCCCTGTGCTGGCAGGACTGAAGACTGACAGGTCGCAGGTTTGAAGGGGAGAGGCGGATGAGCTCCCTCTATCAGCTCCAGTTCCTCATGCGGGGACATGAGAGAAGCCTCCCACAAGGATAAAAACATCAAATCATCCAGGCGTTCCCTGGGCAACGTCCTTGCAGACGGCCAATTCTCACACACCAGAAGCGACTTGCAGTTTCTCAAGTCACTCCTGACACAGACCAAAACCCAGACGAACAAGACAACCTCGAAGCCTTACTTTTCCTCTTCCTTCCTAGATGTCAGCCCCGTTTCCTGGGCAGCCCCCACTTCTAGAGGTCCTCTGCCTCTCTCTCTCTCTCTCTGACAGGCCAGTGGCAGCGAATAATCCGATTCTAGGTTTGACTCCTTTTTGTCATAACGATGAAGCAGGTGCTTCCTTCCCGCCTCCTTGTTGCCTCAGTGAAGGCACCGAGAGGGAGTCTCTTCCTATATACGGGAAGCGAGGAAAAGGAGGGGGTGAGAGAGAGTGGTGGGGGAGATTCCCCTTTTTGGGTTGACTTGCCAAAGACGTCGAGGCCGCGCGCTGGGGTTGTCCTCCCGTCACGTGACGCTCACGCGGGCTCTCCGAGGCGCGCCCAGGGGCGCGAGACTGGTTGGGCGGCGCGAGCCACGTGCCTCAAAGCAGATGGGCCAACCACGCCCTCGTCGCCTCATTGGCCGCCTCACCCGAGTCTCCGCCCCTCGGGGTCTCCAAGTGGTCCACAAAGGGTGCTTGGGACCTCGAAGCTCCTCCTCAGTGTGAGAGAGGCTCCAAAGCCTTCCTCTCTCCTTCCTTCCTTCCTCAGCGTGCCGAGGCACGAGTTTGCACCGCTTTATCTGATTTTACGCCTGAGTTTGTCAAGCGTTCACTTCCGAGGAAGTTCCTTAGTCTATTGATTGATTTCCTAATCTTGGCGACCGCAGCGGAAAGCGGAGCCCGCTCTCGAGTGTGAAACTGCATCCTCGGAAGGGACAGAGGGGCGGGGTGGGCTCGCCAGGAAGCTCGCCCCGACCGGATCCTCGACACTCTTACCCTCGAAATGAATGCATATACTTAACCAAAATAACGCAAGTCCACACTGAGCTGAGAAAGAGCCCTTACACAGAGATACTGAGTGGCCTTGCAGGAAAACGCTAAGCCAGGATTTCAGATTTCGCGGGGGAACGGGGCTTTTCATGAGGGGGGAGGGGGACGCGTCAAGGGTATTTTTTGGGGGGGGGGGCTTTTTTTCAGGGGGAGCTGGGGGGGGGGGCTGAGTCTGAGTGAAAGAGGGTCTAGCCCCTAGCAAACCTTTTGTATCATTACCCCAATACCCCCATGCATATGGGATATATTGAGTATGGTGATCAGATCATGTTTAAATAATGCACCAGTAAGGCCTTTTCGCGAACCACCATGAGAATTTCGGGGGGGGGGGGGGTGAAGCCCCTCAAGCCTCCCCTCCCCCCTGGCTACATACCTGGTGACAGCAATATATCTGCAAGCAGAAGTCAATCTCTCTGAGAAGATTCCTTTTGTTATATTTGCAGTATTATTATTATTATTATCTATATATATAAAATGCTCTGTGCATAATGAGTACCTTAAAAACAAAAGAACCAATGAACGAAATCACACCAAATTTGGCAACAAAACGTCTCACAACACAAGGAGTGACCATCACTCAAAAAATTATGATTTTGTCATTTGGGAGTTGTAGTTGCTGGGATTTATAGTTCACCTACAATCAAAGAGCATTCTGAACTCCATCAAAAATGGAATTGAACCAAAGTTGGCACACAAAACTCCCATGACCAACAGAAAATATTGGAGGGGTTTGGTGGGCATTGACCTTGAGTTTGGGAGTTGTAGTTCACCTACACCCAGAGAGAACTGTGAACTCAAACAGTGATGGATCTGGACCAAACTTGACACAAGCACTCAGTACGCCCAAATATGAACACAGATAGAGTTTGGGGGAAATAGACCTTGACATTTGGGAGTTGTACTCACTGGGATTCACAGTTCACCTACAATCATAGAGCATTCTGAACCCCACGAACGACAGAACTGGTGCAAACTTCCCACACAGAACCCCCATACTTAAGGTCATCCAGTCCAAGTCCCTTCACTAGGGCAAGAAAATGTAATCAAAGCCCTCCTGACAATTCTATTTATATAGATGATTCACACACAGAGATATACCGTAGTATCATAGGTTTGAAGGGGACCCCTAAAGAAGGACAATGATATGTTCTATGTTCCAGAGTAGGCAAACCAGACAATCTTCACATCAACACTGAGAAAGAAACAAGAAGAAGTACTATTTATCCACAAGCATAAAGAAATTACATATATATTACAAACCATTGATCTTGAGTTTCAGAGTTGTAGTTCACCTACAACCAGAGAGCACTGTGGACTCAAACAATGATGGATCTGGACCACACTTTGCACAAGCACTCAATACGCCCAAATATGAACACAGATGGAGTTTGGGGGAAATAGACCTTGATATTTGGGAGTTGTAGTCACTGGGATTCATAGTTCACCTACAATCAAAGAGCATTCTGAACCCACCAACGACAGAATCGGGGCAAACTTCCTACACAGAACCCCCCTGACCAACAGAAAATACTTCAGGCCATCCAATTCAGCTCCCTTCATCAGGGCAAGAAAATGTAATCAAAGTCCTCCTCACCAAGAGCCACCCAGCCATAGATATAGATAGATAGATAGATAGATAGATAGATAGATAGATAGATATGATTCACACACAGAGATATAGTATCATAGATTTGAAAGGGACCCTTAAAGAAGGACAACTATATGTTCCATTTTCCAGGGTGGGCAAACCAGGCACTCTCCACATCAACGCTGACAAAGCAACAGCAAGAAATACTGTTTACTCACAAGCATAAAGAAATAACAGAGATTAGAAATGATGACTTTTTCATTATTTCCCAGATCATCAGACTGGGTCACAGCAACGCGTAGCAGGGGACGGCTAGTCTATATAAATAAAAATGTAATCTTCGTTTTTGGGATTAACATAACTCAAAAACCACTGGACCAATTGACACCAAATTTGGACACAATACACCTATCAGTCCAACGAGTGACTATCACTCAAAAAATGGATTTTGTCATTTGGGAGTTATAGTTGCTGGGATTTACAGTTCACCTACAATCAAAGAACATTCTGAACCCCACCATTGAGGGAAAACCTCCACCACACTCCGGGGCAGAGAGTTCCACTGCTGAACAGCTCTCACAGTCAGGAAGTTCTTTCTCATGTTCAGGCGGAATCTCCTTTCCTTGAGTTTGATGTTCCTTGGAACTGGGAGCCGCTTCCCCCTTTGGCATTGTGTTTATATTTTTGCCTCCCGATCCCATCTTTGCCTCCAACTCAACTCTACCGCTGAGCTCCACGAGCAGGTTCGACCCGTCGGAGCTGCTCCTCTTTTATCTCTTTTTCGTGAAAGAAAAAACAACCCAGCGAAGGATGTTTTGCCCAACTCGCAGCCTGCTTCTTAGACTCGAGCAGGCTCTGTGTGTGTCTCTCTCCTCCCTCCCTCCCTCCCCCTCGTTTCCCCCCTTTAGATTGACTTTCAATTTCGAAGAGGGCAAGGATTCAGTTATTTAATTCATAAAGTCTGTTTCCTTCTATATATAGCTCCGTGGTGAATGCTGCTGGCACGCGCTGGGAAAGCCTGGCGGAAGTCCAGGCGGGGAAAAAACAGGACCGGGTTGTCTCCTTGCGGAGCTGTTTGCCTTGCCTTGAAGGCCGGCGGGTGGCCTGGAGGGCGGGCCCAGGACGGTGAGCTGTCCATGGTGGCCCACAGGACACAGGCGCGTGCCTCGGCCTTCATTTCCCCCCTTCCCTGTCGCGGCCTCGTGACGTCACGGGCTGCGGGGCAGAGGCGCGCGCCCACACATGCCCAGCGGAGGGACCCGCGCGAAGGCCTCTTCGAAGCTAGCAACTCCTGTGAGGGGAGGCGTTAGTGAGTGCGCTCCAAGAGGCTTTGACATTGGTCAGGACATGTCACTTCATAGGGTAAGCCTTGGGAAGCACCTACTTTTGCACAATAGGATTCTGCAAACACCTCTCGCCCTTTTGTAGTATGTAATATTGGGTTGTTGTAGGTTTTTTCGGGCTATATGGCCATGCTCTAGAGGCATTCTCTCCTGACGTTTCGCCTGCATCTATGGCAAGCATCCTCAGTGGTAGTGAGGTCTGTTGGAAGTAGGAAAAATGGATTTATATATCTGGAATGACCAGGGTGGGACAAAGGAGCACAATTCAAAGTGCTGGTTTTAACCTACAAAACCCTATACAGTTCTGTTGGGGTTCAGCCTGATCCTGATCTGTGTGAACCGGATTCTCTGATAGTTTTTCCAACTGAGCAAGCTCTCCCTGACCCTGACAGTGTGGAATCTGTTGTTGATGCAGAGGTCAGCGGCAATGAAAACGAAACTCAACAGCTGGAGGAAAATGTTTTGGAAGTTAGCCGTGATATCACTAGCCGTGATATCTCTCCACCTGGGGTTTTTAATGAGGACCGAAGAGAATAGATAGTTATAGACAGAAATGTTTCCCAGTTTCTACGAAGGTCACATCAGTTACAGGAGAGACAGGCCCAGACGTCAAAGTCAAGGGGCGTTTCAAAGATTAGCTTCTTTGGTTTAAGATGCCTCCTGCCGGGTGCCTCTTTAGATCAAGCAACGTTTGGGACTGAGGCTGTGCCTTGGCAGAATTCCTGTGTTCCATGGCCGGTAATCCCAGAGGCTTCTGTTTTTCAAGTTCATGGTTAGTGAAAGGCTAACAGGTTCCTGGTTCTTGTTTTGTGGCTTTTGGAATTTTGCTCAAGTTCAGAGATTCTACTGACTGCTGTGTTTCTTCTGTGGCTTTTTGACTTTGCATTTACCTTTCTTTTGTAACCAATTTTTCATCCATAAACAAGGATTGCTTTTCCTACAGTCCAGTGTGGTGGATTTAATCTTTTGGTCTCGTTTCTTGATCTGGGATGCAACAGGTTCCGGCCCAGTGTATCTGTCCGAACGGATCTCCCGCTACGTTCCACCTCGGAATTTGAGATCTTCTGAGGAGGCCCTGCTCACGACCCCGCCCCTATCACAAGTGAGATTGGCGGGGACGAGGAGCAGGGCCTTCTCGGTGGTGGCCCTTCACCTGTGGAACTCACTCCCGGGGGAAATTAGATCAGCGATATCCCTCTTTTCCTTCAGGAAAAAAATTGAAAACATGGATTTGGGATCAGGCATTCGGACAACCTGGCAGATGAAAAAGGACGTGGCGATAGAATGGAATTGACATACGGAATGGAATTAAGGAACTCTGGACAACGCACGCTGAGTTTGTGATTAGTTTTTAATGATTGTGTTATTGTTAACTGTTTAATTGTGATAAATGCTGATTGTTGTTAATATGTACATGTACTCTAAGTAGGCATCGAATAGTGC